TCCTTGAGGAACATTCTCAGGCATTCATCTTTGGGTATCTCTGTACTGAATAATCAAATGAATCCTAGAAGTGGAATCGCTATGGTGGAGGCTACGTGTATTTTAACGGTTCATGGTGTATATTGCCATCCTTCTTTAGAGAGCAATTCGTACCCATTTTACATACACACCGGTAGTCTGTAAATGAGTGCTTTTTTTCTCCAAACCTTCACCATTACTAGGTATTATTTTTAATGTTTTGCTAATTTGGGAAAAATGATTTTGTTTTATTTTTCTGTGATTATTGATGAAGTTGATGTCATTAATTTTATTTCCTTTGCTAATCCCATATTTCTGTCATATCTTATATTTCTGTTGTGATCATTTTTTCCTTATTGATTTGTAAGAAATATATTTGTTATATCAAAATTTTGCTATTTTACTTTTTCTAGTTTTCTTTTTTTTAATGAATATTCTTTTTTTTTTTTTTTTTAAAGTAAGCTCTACATCCAATGTGGGGCTTAAACTCATGACCCTGAGATCAAGAGTCACATGCTATATCGATTGAGCCACCCAGGCACCCCTACTTTTTCTAGTTTGTAGTTTGCTGTTTTGAGGTGTTTTTGCTGTATAGAAACAATATATAAATTATTATTTATATTTATATATATTTATTTTATAAGTTCAAGATATGAGTCTTATTGTGTGTATGTTTGGGTTTGTGCTTAGGATGTCCTCTGTTCTTAGTTTATATATGTATTTTTTTTTTCTTTTAAAGATTTTATTTATTAGAGAGCGAGAGCATGCACAAGCAGGGGGGGAATGGCAGGCAGAGGGAGAAGCAGGCTCCCCGCTGAGCAAGGAGCCTGATGTGGGACTCGATTCCAGGACCCTGGGATCATGACCTGAGCCGAAGGCAGACGCTTAACCAACTGAGCCGCCAGGCGTCCCTATGTATGTATTTCTTTTAGGCTTTTTGAAAGTATTGTAAATGTTACCTGTTCTTTTAAAGGACCTCAGATGGGAAATCACTTTGAGAATATTAGTATCCTTACTTTTTTTTTTTTTTTGCTTTATCCTGAGAGTCCAGGAACAAATTTAAAGGGAAAAAAATAGTAATTTCTGTAATGTGAGCTCTCCAGGGGAAAATTTAGGCAGAAACCAAAGACTTATTGGATGTAGTCTCTAATACTGTATCTCAGCAAAAAGATGTCTTTGCTTATAAGATAATGTTATTTACCTCTAAGATTCAAGAAAAAGTGCGGCACCTGGGTGGCTCAGTCGGTTACGCGTCTGCCTTCAGGTCATGGTCCCAGGGTCCTGGGATCGAGCCCCGCGTTGGGCTCCCTGCTCGGTGGGAAGCCTGCTTCTCCCTCTCCCTCTGCCTGCCACTCCCTCTGCTTGTGCTCTCTCTCTCACTCTCTCTCTCTCCTCTCTGTGTCAAATAAATAAAGTCTTAAAAAAAAAAGAAAAGAAAAAGTGCTGCTAATTAGACCATTAAATGCCATTGATTGTAGGATACATACCGACTTTAGAGTTTTTAAGATACGGACACATGTGGGTATTAGAATCCATGAAATGTGGCATATGTTAACTTGGACTGCTGCACAATCATTTTTATTTTTATTTTTTAAAGATTTTATTTGAGAGAGAGAGAGTGCACATGCATGAGCAGTGGGAGGGACGGAAGGAGAGGGAGAATCAGACTCCCCAGTGAGCAGAGAGCCCAGCACAGGGTTTGATTCCAGGACCCTGGGGTCATGACCTGAGCCGAAGGCAGATGCTAAACTGACTGAGCCACCCAGGCGCTCCTCATTTTAAAAAAATTTTAAGTTTTTTTAAGTTAAAAAAAAAAATTTTTTTTTAGTAATCTCCATACCCAATGTGGGGCTCAAACTCAAAACCCTGAGATGAAGAGTCACATGCTCTTCTGACTGAGCCAGCCAGGCACCCCTGCACAATCATTTTTAAATCTTGTGGTTGCTTTGTATAGTTTGTTTTTGGGTTGGCAATTTTTTAAAAACAGCTTTATTAAGACGTAATTCATGTACCATGCAATTCATCCATTTAAAGTATATGATTCAGGGGCGCCTGGGTGGCTCAGTTGTTGAGTGTCTGCCTTCGGCTCAGGTCATGATCCCAGGGTCGTGGGATTGAGCCCCACATCAGGCTCCCTGCTCCGCGGGAAGCCTGCTTCTCCCTCTCCCACTCCCCCTGCTTGTGTTCCCTCTGTCGCTGTGTCTTTCTCTGTCAAATAAATAAATAAAATCTTAAAAAAAAATAAAGTATATGATTCAGTGGTTTTTAGTATATTTAGAGATAAGTGCAAACATCACTACAGTCAATTTTAGAACATTTTTATCACCTCAAAAAGAAACTCCAATACAATGGGATATTATTATTCAGCCCTAAAAAGGTAGGTAATTTTGATATATGCTACCACATGGATAAAGCTTGGAGATACTGTGCTAAGTGAAATGATCCAGTCAGAGAAGGACAGTTACTGTTTGATCCCACTTCTGTGAGGTCCTCAGAGTCCTCTACTTCACGGAGACAGGAGCTAGAATGGTGGTTGCCAGGGACTGAGGGGAGGAGGAGTGGGAGTGTTTGATGGATATGGAACTTTAGTTGGAAGATGAACAAGTTCTGAAGATGAATGGTGGTGGTAGTTGTACCACAATGTGAATATACATGATGCTACACAATTACACACTTAAAAATGGCTAAAATGGTAAATTTCACGTATATTCTACTGCAGTAGTGCCCATCCTACTGTCCCTAAGCAGCCATTAATCTACTTTCTGTCGTGTAGATTTGCCTCTTCTGTACTTGCAGATGAAAGGAATCACACAAAGTGGGGACTTTTATGAGTGGCTTCTTGTACTTTTGCATAATGTTTTCAGGGTTTGTCCAAGTTACAGTGTGTATCAGTACTTCATTCTTTTTTGGTGGAATAATGTTCCTTGTATGGATATACCTGATTTCATTTATCTATTTATTACTTGATGGATATGACATTTGGGTTTTTTCCAAGTTTGTATGGTTATTTTAGGTTTTAACTTAAGCCCTGACGATTCTAAAAAATAAAAACCTACTCCATCTATATTAAGTAAAGGAGGACTTACTGTAAGACTATGTAGGTAGTTTAACAAGTATCCAAGGTCAAGGAAAGGAGTTCAGCAGCTTCTCTTGGGACTGACCCTGGAGGAAAGACTCAGGAGCCAAGGCAGTTGCTGCTTTGTCTCTTGGGCCTGCAAGGTCTCTTGGCTCCCCTTGTCTCTTCATGTCTACTCTATTCTGTGTCTGGACTGGCATTCTCTGCTCCCTCTGTAACCTCTCTGGCACGTGCTTTGGCTCACCTTGACTCCTACTCTGGCTACTTTGCAACTCAGTTCCCTGTACCTGAGGTTCTCAATTCCACATTCCTGGCGAGGGATCTAAGTGCTACATCCCTTGTGCACTAGGGGAGTTCACTTGATATAAACATGGTGTCAAAGCTTCACCTTAACTAGGGGCAGATTCTCCAGAAGTGTGTGCATGGAGCTGGGACTGGCCTTTCTAGGTCACTAATGCCAGTCAACCTAAAGATGACTTAATTCTCTAGGCCAGTGGTCATCAAACTTTTTGGTCTCAAGAATCCTTTATACTCTTAAAATTATTTAGGACTCCAAAGAGCATTTGCTTATGTGGGTTCTGTATGTTGATATTTACCATATTAGATATTAGAGTGGACATTTTAAAGATATTAATTCATGTAAAAATAATATAAACGTACCATATGCTAAGATAAGTAACATTTTTTATGATAAGTAACTGTTTTCCAGGATAAAACAAAACTTGATGAGAAGGGTGGCATTGTTTTACATTTTTGCAAACCGCTTCGATATCTGGCTTAAAAAAAGATAGCTTTAGTCTCAAATCTGTTTCTGCATTCAGTCTTGCAATATATTGTTTTGATTGAAGTTTAAGAAGAAAAGCTAATCTCATATAGATATATGTATTTGGAAAAGAGAGGGGTATTTTAATAGCCTTTTTAGATAATTGTAGATATTCTTTGATACCACACCCAATCTGGGCAAGTGGCAATTTTTTAAAGGTTAATTGCTGTGTAGGATCTGAAACCATATCAATGAACTTTTCATATTCTATCACATTAAACATTTATTGGGTTGTCTTGTACTTTATTTGTAGTAAAATGTCTTCTACTTTAAATAAATATTACACTCATGAATAATTTTATAACATTATTGGTCGTTTGGAAAATATTGATTCATTAAATTACACAGATATTTCAAATGTTGACATATTTCATCATGTAATATCAAAAACTCACACACACACACAAAAAAAACTCACACTTGTTAGTATCACGACCAGTCTTGACAGAAAAGTCTTTAAATGTGGGGAAGCTGTCAAGCTTATGGAAGCAGATAAAAGTGTTTCCAAAATTCAAATTTTCACAAATACTGGCAGTTGTTTTCCTTGAAGTGATAAGCTCACTTTGTTCTTCCTTGAACGCTTTCTCATCCTGAATGTCTTCTTAGGCTGTTATTTGGGGGGCAGAATTATTTAATAAAGATAATATTTCCTCTGCACAAATGCTTACCTTATAGATACTCTTGAATCTTTTTAACAATTGACTTTTTACAACCCCAGAACCGTAGATATTTGTTTCTGTAATAGATCACATTTGATTCTCAGACGCTTATCCACAAAAAGGACATTTGTTGAGCATTTGCCATGTGCCAGGTCCCATGCTGAGACTGTCTATACACCTTTTTACTTTCTGTTGCTACCGATATTGTTGTTTGTGATATATTAAAGAACGTTTTTTAAGTCTACAAGAAAAGACTCGTTAATGTTTTTCAAACTCCAATTACTTGTATTATATTAAGTAAATACATGAGAGAAAGCTTTTACTGGTAATTGTGGTTTTATTTATGTAGCTATAGTTATAATTTATTAGAAGTACACCTGGTGCTTTAGTTCTTATCAATTCTATTTTTTCCCATCCTGTTTAGGTGGTTTCCTAGAAACATGATTGTTTGTTGGACTTGATCTCACAGCCTGGTGAGGACTTCTTTACTGATAATGTCAAGTTCAGGTTATCCTCCCAACCAAGGAGCATTCAGCACAGAACAAAGTCGTTATCCTCCCCACTCTGTTCAGTACACCTTTCCCAGCACGCGTCACCAGCAGGTAAGGAACAAATACTATGCAGTTGCATAAGTTGTGTTTGCGTCTGTTTTACTTTTCCTATTTAATACATTTGTTGATCAGAAACCAAATGTAATGTTTACATCTATACATTTTAAATGTCAAGAACCATTCTCAAAGATGGGGAGCCAAAGGTGGGGGATTAATTATCTTTGTCTTAGTATGGCATTATGCCAGATTTCAGGGGGTGAACATGTCTGTTTTTGTTTGTAGGAGTTGTTGATAGGAAAATACCAGTTGTCTAAGGTTTCCTGTTAAGGTTAAGACCTATGTTTATTGCTCCCAAGTTCTGGTTGAGTACTAAGCTGGCCAGATAACTTGGCCTCTCTTGAGTGATGGCCAGGAGAGGGCCTATACCTTCTTGAGAGGTTGATGGCAGGACGATGAAAGAGTTTGTTTGCTGATTTGCCTTGTGAAAAATAAAACATGAGGTGAAATTATTAGCTCAGTGAGCTAGGGACAGGAGTGTAAGAGGTTTGAAGTAAAAAGGGAAGTGGAGGATGAAATGGTCATCTCAGAGAGAAAGAAAGCACATTCACCAGCGAAGTATTATTCAGTACTATCAGAGACTCCTTTGAGTGTGGTCATGATTATGGAGTGAGAATGGACATTGTTACCTTGTTCCTATTTTGGGAAACATTCACTTTTCAATATTAAGTATGTTAGTTGCATGTTTTTGTAGCTGCCCTTTTTCGGTTAAAGAAGTTGCTTTCTATTGCTAGATTGAGAGTTTTTATCATAGCTGGGTGTTGGATTTTGGTTGCGTTGTCCTCTCTCTACCCATGTTCTTTGTCTGAATATTAATTTCCTAGATTATTGTTGCTTCTTTGTTTTCGCTTTTAATTTACTTTTTTAGTTTATATATAATAAAATTTTATTATATGTGTACATTCTGACAGTTCATACACTCATAAAACCACCACCAAAATGAAGATGTAGAGTACTTCTGTCACCCCATCCCTTGTACTCTGTCCAGGTCAGTCCTCCTCCCCTACTTTCCACAAACCTCAGCTCCCAGGAAACCACTGCCCTGCTTTTTGTCATATCAGATTGTACTTGTTTTGAGTTTTATTTTTTATTTATTTTATTTTTTTTAAGGATTTTATTTATTTATATGAGAGAGAGAGAATGAGAGATAGCATGAGAGAGAAGAGGGTCAGAGGGAGAAGCAGACTCCCCGCTGAGCAGGGAGCCCGATGCAGGACTCGATCCCAGGACTCCAGGATCATGACCCGAGCCGAAGGCAGTCGCCTAACCAACTGAGCCACCCAGGCGCCCTTGTTTTGAGTTTTATATGAACTCTTTTATTAGTGGCTTCTTTTGCTTCCCATAATATCTTTGAGATTTATTCATGTTCTGTGCATCTTAGTAATTAATTTCCTTTTATTGCTGGGTATGGATATACCACAACTTACCTAGTTACCTATTCCAGTTTTTGGCTATTATAAATAAAAATTATTTAGAAACCATGTATCTATGTGTCTGTTTTATCTAATTATATAAAGAAGTATTGCCTTATTTTCTTAATTGTATTGTTGGAGAGCATCTTTTTTAATTTTTATCAAGTCCAGTTTATTAATTTTTGTCCTTTATATTTCTTGCTTTTTGTGCATATTTAAGAAGTTTTTGCCAAACTCCAGGTCACTAAGACTTTCTTCTATGTTTTCTTCTCTAAGTTTGTAATTCTAGGTTTTACATTTACATCTATCACCTATTTTGAATTAAATTTTGTTTGTGATGTGAGGTAATGATTGAGGTTATTGTTTTGCATACAGCTTTCCAATAGTTCTAGAAACCATTTGTTAAAAAGATTCTTCTTTCCCCACTGAATTGCTTTGACAATTGTTCACTGAAAATCAGTTGACCATATATGTGCAAGTCTGTTTCTCTATATGGTTTTCTCTATACTGTTCTATTGATGTATTTTGTGTATCTTCACCTCCCATCTATGTAGTTTTCCGTGTAAACAAACATGTAGTTTTTAGTAAAGAACTTCACCCTGTCTTGATTATTATAGCTTTATAATAAGTTGAAATTGAGTAGTGTGATTCTTTTCTGAATTGGAGTTTTGATATTCTAGTTGTTAACATTTCCATATACATTTTAGAATCAACTTGTCAGTTTCTACAAAAAGGCTTGCCTTTTTTTTTTTTTAAGATTTATTTATTTGGGGTGGGGGAAAGGGGCAGAGGGAGATGGAGAGAAAGTCATAAGCAGACTCTATGCTCAGCACAGAGCCCGATACAGGGCTCAACCTCATGACCCTGAGATCACAACCTGAGCCGAAGCCAAGAGTCAGATGCTTAACTGACTGTACCACCCAGGTGCCCCTTGCTGGGATTTTGATTGGATTTGTATTGAGTCTAGAGATAAATTTGGGAGAGAATTGACATCTTAACATAACAACTTTAATTTTTCTGGTCCATGAACATGGTATAACTCCACTTATTTTGGTCTTCATTAATTTTTCTCAATAATGTTTTGTAGTTTTTAGTGCACAGGTCATGTACATCTTTTGTCACATTTGTTCCTAAATATTTCATATATTTTTAAAAGATTTTATTTATTTGAGAGCAAGCGGGGAGGAGGGCCAGAGGGAGAGAGAGAAGCAGACTTCCTCCTGAGCAGGGAGCCCAACACAGGGCTCTATCCCAGGACCCCGAGATCATGACCCGAGCCGAAGGCAGACACGTAACTGACTGAGCCACCCAGGTGCCCCAGTATATCATATTTTTGATGCAGTTGTAAATGTATTGCTTTTCGAATTTCAGTTTTCACTTCATTGCCACTAAGTCTATTCATCTTGTATCCTGCAACCTTACTTGTTACTTTTGGTTGCTTTTTTATAGATTCCACAAGATTTTCTATTTAGATGATCCTGTAATCTGAGAATAAAGACAGTTTTGCCTGTACCTTTCCAAACTGGATGCCTTTTCTCTTTTCTTCCTTATTGTAATGGCTTTAATTGTTAGTAAAATGTTGAGGAGGTGAGAGTAGGTAGACACCCTTGACTTATTTCTCTCTCTCTTTTTTTTTAAAGATTTTATTTATTTATTTGACAGAGAGAGACACAGGGAGAAAGGGAACACAAGCAGGGGGAGACAGAAGCAGGGGGAGTGGGAGAGGGAGAAGCAGGCTTCCCGCCGAGCCGGGAGCCCCATGTGGGGCTCTATCCCAGAACCCGGGGATCATGACCTGAGCTGAAGGCAGATGCTTAATGACTGAGCCACTCAGGCGCCCTATTTCTCATCTTAGGAGGAAGGCATTCAGTCTTTGACCATTAGGAATGTTGTTAGCAGCTGATGATGACACTTGTCATGGGAAGCATTGAGTAATGTCTAGATTTGTCAAATCAATATGTTGTACACTTGAAACTAATATAACATTGTATGCTGATTGTGCTTCAATTAAAAAAAAAAGAATGTTGTTAGCTTGGGAAGTGTTCCTTCCTCCTGTATTTTCTTAAAGAGTTTGTGTAGGATTAGTATTTTTTCTTCCTTAGAAGTTTGATAGAATTTTTCAGTGATCAGGGCCTAGAATTTTCTTTGTGTGAAGAATTTAAATTATGAATTCAATTTCTTTAATAGTTATAATCAGATTCTTTATTTTTTTCTTGAGTCACTTTGGGTAAGTTTTGTTCACTATATTACATAAGTTGTCATACTATTCCCTTTATCTTCTCAGTGTCTTTGAGATCTGTTGTGATATCATTCCTCAGGTTGATAATAAGTGTTTTCCCTTCCTTTTTTTTTTTATTAGTGTAGCCAAGAGGTTTATCAATTTAATTGATTCTTTTCTGAGAATAACTAACTTTGGTTTCATCCATTTTCACTATTTTTTTCTTTTTTTTTAAAAGATTTATTTATTTATTTGAGAGAGCGAGAATGAGAGAGAGAGAGAAGAGTACCTGAGAGGGGGGAGGGTTAGAGGGAGAAGCAGGCTCCTCGCTGAGCAGGGAGCCCAATGCGGGACTCGATCCCGGGACTCCAGGATCATGACCTGAGCTGAAGGCAGTCGCTTAACCAACTGAGCCACCCAGGCGCCCGTCACTATTTTTTTTTCTATTTTATTGATTTCTCCTCCTCATTATTTTGTTCCTTCTCTCATTGACCAAATATATAACATTTCTGGAATCTTTCACTGCTTTGTGTATATTCAGGTTTCCTTTTGATACTATTTTCTTTTTGCCTGAAGAACATCATTTCTCCTAGTGCAGGTCTTTTGGCAGTATACTCTCAGCTTTTATTTATCTGAAAAAGTTTATTTCAGCTTGATTTTTTTTAAAAATTTTATTTATTTATTTGAGAGAATGAGAGAGAGAGCATGAGAGCAGGGGAGGGTCAGAGGGAGAAGCAGACTCGCCGCTGAGCAGGGAGCTTGATGCGGGACTCGATCCCGGGACTCCAGGATCATGACCTGAGCTGAAGGCAGACGCTTAATGACTGAGCCACCCAGGCGCTCCTCAGCTTGATTTTTTTTTTTCCCCCCTCAGCTTGATTTTATTTATTTATTTATTTATTTATTTATTAAAATAATTTTTTTATTGTTAACCACCATACATTACATCATTAGTTTTTGATGTCAGCTTGATTTTTAAAGAATATTTTTACTTGTTACAGAATTCTAAGCTTACAGTTATTTTCTTTCAGCACTTTAAAAGCTGCCGTTTGTTGTATTCTGGCTTGTATGGTTTCTGACCAGAAGACTTTTTTTTTTTTTTTAAGATTTTTAAAAATCTATTTGACAGAGATACAGCGAGAGAGGGAACACAGTCAGGGGGTGTGGGAGAGGGAGAAGCAGGCTTCCCGCTAAGCAGGGAGCCCGATGGAGACTAGATCCCAGGACACTGGGATCATGACCTGAGCCGAAGGCAGACGCTTAACAACTGAGCCACCCAGGAGCCCCTGACCAGAAGTCTTTGATCATTCTTATCTTTATTTATATATAAGTATCTTTTCCCCTCTTTTAAGATTTTTTTCTTTATGACTGGTTTTGAGCAATCTGATTATGATGTGCCTTTGCCGTTCTTTGTGAATGTATGTGTTATTGTCTTAGGCATTCACTGAACTTCATGCTTCTGTGGGTTTAAATTTCAGCCATTATTTCTTCAGGTATGTTTTTCTGTCTACTCTCCCCCTAGGCTTTTTTGTTTTGTTTTTCTGAAACACCAGTTACTCATTTCGTATTATCCTGCTGGTCACTGGACCTCTATTCATTTTATTTTTTCTGTTTTTTTTTCTTTTGCAGTTTCCAACCTATTGTTAATTTTATCCAGTGGAAAAAAATTTTTTTTTTAAAGATTTTATTTATTTATTTATTTGGCAGAGAGAGACACAACGAGAGAGGGAACACAAGCAGGGGGAATGGGAGAGGGAGAAGCACTTGGCTTCCCGCAGAGCAGGGAGCCTGATGTGGGACTCGATCCCAGGACTCTGGGATCATGACCTGAGCCGAAGGCAGACGCTTAACGACTGAGCCACCCAGGCGTCCTCCAGTGAAATTTTTATTACAGGGCACCTGGGTGGCTCAGTTGGCTAAGTGTCTGCCTTCTGCTTAGGTCATGATCCCAGGGTCCTAGGATTGAGTCCCGCATTGGCTCCCTGCTCAGCAAGGAGCCTGCTTCTCCCTATGCCCCTCCCCCCACTCATGGTCTCTGTCTCTCTCTCTCAAATAAATAAATAAAATCTTTAAAAAAAAGTCTTAAAAAATTTTTTTTATTACAGACATTGGATTTTTTTCTTTTTTGAGTGGAATATGAACACTGAATTTTACACATTTTAGTACTGCCTTTTGTTGTATTCCTTTAAAGAAAGTTGGATTCCTTCTGGTAGGCAGTAAATTACTTTTGAGGTTTATTTTTAAACTCTTGAAGGGCAAGTCTAGAGTAGTCTTTATTCTAAGTCTTATTTGTCCACCACTTCTAAACTTGTCTCTGCTGGGGCATTTAGTGATTATTTCATGTATTCATTGAGGTTTCTTCCCACTGGCTGGAGGAAATTTGAATGAGTTCTGGCCCTGTGTAAGCTCTGGGAATTGTTTGTTTTATAGTTCCTCCAAACTGTTCTTTCTACGAGCAACCGGAGATGTTTAGGACCGGGCTGTGCTCTCCCCTGTGCATTTGCAGATCGGAATTGAGCCAAAGACCTAGGAGAACCCCAATTCACATTTCAGGAAATCTTTCTCTATGTAATTCCCTCTTCTCAGAAAGTCTCCAGAAATGCTGTCCAGATGGCTTTATCAGACTAGTGTGGTTGCTTCTTCAGTGAACAAGATTACAGGGCACTGTTGGGATTCCCTTCCCAGGGATGCAATGTGGAAATTGCCTCCAGGCAGAAAGCCTGCAGTACAGTAGGACTCACCCAGTTTGTGTGATTTTTCTCAGAGATTGAGTCCTGTGCGGCCCATTTTCCAGTGTCTGAAGATAGTTAACTACATTTTGCCCAATTTTTTGGCCGTCTACTGTGGGAATGTAACTCTGGACAGTTATGTGCTCACAGCTGGAACCTGCAGTGCACTATTGGTTTTATTTCACTCCTTACTTTTAATTTGTCTTGCTGGATACATCCATCCTTTAGAGATTTTTTCAGAGATTCTGTGGTTCGTAAATTTTCTGAGTTCTTGAATTCTGAAGTTTGTAGTCCTAAAATTTGAGGTGGTTTGGTTATTGAATTTGTGGGTTCAAAGTTGTTTTTCTCTGAACTTAGAATATGTGATTTGTCTCTTTCCTTTTTTTTTTTTTTTAAAGATTTTATTTATTTGACAGAGCCAGACACCGAGAGAGGGAACACAAGCAGGGGCAGAGGGAGAGGGAGAAGCAGGCTTCCCGCCGAGCAGGGAGCCCAATGTGGGGCTCGATCCCAGGCCCCTGGGATCATGACCTGAGCCGAAGACAGATGCTTAACGACTGAGCCACCCAGGCGCCCCTGTCTGTTTCCTTCTGTATAGTGTTGCTGATGAGAAGACTTTTTATTATGATCCTGATTACTTTGTAGGAAACCTATTTCATATTTTTTATGATACCTAGTCAAGTTTTCTCTTTATCCTTGCTTGTCTGAAATTTTTGTTGTGTCCATCCAGTGTGATGGATTAATTTTTAAACTATGCCTATCTTTTCTCTTAGGCCCTTTTAAGTCCAAGGACTTTATCTTTTTTAACTTCTGATAAGTGCTGTTTTTCTATTATTTCTTAGAATATTGCCTCTTACCTCTGGGTATTGGAGGTTGGGACTTTTTACTCTAGCTGCCATTTTTAACTTTTCTTCTCTAATTTCTAGAGCTGTGTGCTTCACTGTGTCCCAAGAGAATGCCTCTGTTCTGTCTTTGCTTTCGTTTGCTCTTCACCTGTTCTGTTCTATTGCTTAATTTCACTGATCAACTTTTTAATTTCTTTGATTGCTCTTCGGTCCCTTTTTTGAGGATATCATTTATACTTTTGCTTAGTCTTTTATCTATTTCTTTGAATGTAAATTATATTTTGAGTGAGTGGTGGTGCTCTTTTTAAAGTGGCTCTGGGGGGCCTGGGTGGCTCAGTTGGTTAAGCGACTGCCTTCGGCTCAGGTCATGATCCTGGAGTCCCTGGATGGAGTCCCGCATCGGGCTCCCTGCTTGGCAGGGAGTCTGCTTCTCCCTCTGACCCTCCCCCCATCTCATGTGCTTTCTCTCTCATTCTCTCTCTCTCTCAAATAAATAAATAAAATCTTAAAAAAATAAATAAATAAATAAAGTGGCTCTGACTTGGGGCACCTGGGTGGCTCAGTTGGTTAAGTATCTGCCTTCAGCTCAGGTCATGATCCCAGAATCCTGGGATCAAGCCCCATGTGTCGGGCTCCCTGCTTAGTGGGGAGCCTTGCTTCTCCCTCTGTGCCACCCCCCCCACCCCGCTCATGCTCTCTCTCTCAAATAAATAAATAAAATCTTAAGAAAAAGGTGGCTCTGACTTTTCTTTAGTGTTTAGTGTTTCTTGATTATGTTTCCAACTTTGTATCTTTTTTCTTAGACTATGTAAAAATTACGTTTTACTATTATCTGCTTATAGCAGAGGGCTCTGGACCTCTTATCTATTCCATGTTTCAGTCTGTACTGCTCAGTTTTATATGTTTATGATTAAAAAATTTTTTTTTGTTGACGTGTAATTCATATAAAACTCACCATTTTAAGGTGTATAATATAATAGCTTTTAGTATGTTCACAGTGTTGGGCATCCATTACCATTATCTAATTCCAGAACTTTTTTTTTTTTAAGATTTTATTTACATGAGAGACAGAGTGAGCGAGAGAGAGCGAGCACATGAGCAAGTGCAGAGCAGAGGGAAAGGGAGAAGGAGACTCCCCTGTTGAGCAGGGAGCCCAATGAAGGGGCTTGATCCCAGGACCCTGGGATCATGTCCTGAGCTAAAGGCAGACGCTTAACGACTGAGCCACCCAGGCACCCCTGGACATACGCTTTTAATTACCTCTTGTATATATGGAGGAGAAGAATTCCTGGGTTATTTGGCAGTTTTAGGTATAAGTATCTGTTTATGATTGTTAGTATTAATAGGTTTCTTTTGAAAAGAAGCTTTTGTCTTTTCAACAAAAAGTCAAAAGTAGGAAAACAAACAGAAAAAACACCCACCTGGGGACGCCTGGGTGGCTCAGTCGGTTAAGCCTCTGCCTTCAGCTCAGGTCATGATCTCAGGGTCCTAGGATGGAGCCCCGCATCGGCTCCCTGCTCAGCGGGGAATCTCCTTCTCCCTCTGCCTGCAGCTCTCCCTGCTTGTGCTCTCTCTCTCTCTCTGTCTGACAAAAAACAAAAACAAAAACAAAAAAAAACACACCCCTGGAATGATGGAGAAACTATTACTTTTAACTAGCAGGTTGAGTCTCTGGGCTCTGTCTTTTCATTTGTAAATGTACATGGATTTAACTCAATGGCTTCTGTGGCCCTTCCAGCTCACCCATTTTTGAATTTAAGGTTGGACTGCTTTTTAGGATTTCATATTGAACACAAGTTTGAGATCTTACTGCTTGAAAGTATAGATCGGGAGTTACCGTAATACGTGTTATTAGGAGACTGAGTCAATGATAGACTGAACACCAAATTTCATTTTGAATTCTTTTGAACGATCTGGAGTTAAAATGTTGATTGTTTTAGGTTGATGGGGAAGAATCAGATCAGTGAAGGATGGAAATCATTATTGCTGTTTCCTTCCATACTTAGTGGCCCATAACTGCCTCTCTGCATTTACACTTCGTTTACTTTCATGACGCTTTTCACTTTTTGGCTAATAAGTAATTTATGATTCTTTTAATACTAGGAATTTGCAGTCCCTGATTATCGTTCTTCTCATCTCGAAGTCAGCCAGGCATCACAGCTCCTGCAGCAGCAGCAGCTTCGCAGACGGCCCTCCCTGCTTTCAGAATTTCACCCGGGTTCGGACAGGTAATGGCGCTCTTTTGTGTTTCCGTCTAGGATGGAATCTCTCAAGTGTGTGTGTGTGTACTTCACAAGTGTGCCATTGGGTTTAATGTGGTTTTTTAAAGAATTTTATAACCAAGCCATGATGGGTGATTTATCGTTTATATTTTGAGGTCTTTTATGTTTGTTGATCTTTTGGAGTAGTTATCATAATAGTTAAAAAAAAACCTTTTAGAACTTGTTTCCAGAGTTCACAGTTGCTGCTGTGTGGTGGGAGGTCAGGTAGACCTAGGTTGCAGTCCTGGTCAGCTTGTAGCCTTGGTCATGTGTATAAGCCGGTGTTCTTAATTTAGGCTGCATATTAGAACCACCTTGGTTTTTAAACTTGATGCCCAAGCCCCGTCTCAGAAGAATTAAATCAGTTCCTGGGACTGGGCCCAGGCATTCGTGTATGTGTAGAGTTTCCCAGGTCATTTTCATTTGCAGCTAGGGTTGGAAATTACTGATTCAGATTCTTTAAACTTTAGTTTTCTCACTTGTAATAATGAGACTAGTAATGGCAGTGTCCTCAAAGGAGAGTATTTGTTGGCCCTGTTCATGGTAGACGTTCATTTTCCCCAATGTCCTTACCATCTCTGCTCTCTCCTTACCCCATCCTTGCTCTTAATCTAAAGTATGTTGAGCTGCTTTTATTAAATCTCCTTTCTGGCTTTCTTGTTTCAGCAATTTTATAAAGAACCTGATTTTCTATTTTAAAAATGTTTACTATTTAGGTTTGAAGATGATAAAAGGATTGAAATTATTTGGCTGTGTTTAAAATTATTATAAAATAATTTCTTGGTGAAGGTTGTGGAGAGAATTCAGATCACCCTCCTCCATAATATCTAGCAAATATACAAAAATAGCTCTTCAAAAAGGCTAAAAATCACCCTGTATAAAGAAGGAAAGGCATATAGCCACTGCCATAAACTTGGAAAAGTGGCACTCAGGAGAGGACTTAGAAGAATCTTGCATGACTTGGCCTCCTAGTTCCTACTTCTACTCTCAAAGAAGCAGTGTGGAAGAAAGAAAGAGGGTCAGTAAAATCCTAGGGTTTCTCATAAATACTCCCGAATTTGAGAAAAACGTACATGGTGAAGGTTTAGTGGTGGTGAATTGTTTGCTTGGGAATTCCCATTGTGCCATCTGGCAGGAAAGGGCAGGCATGGTGTGCTTTTTTTCCAAAGTGATGAGCCAAAGCCCTCAGGACTGGTTACATGTCTGGCTTGTAGAGGAAACCAGGATCCTCAACAAAGGCTATCAGAGCCCCAGCCAAGTTTTCCTCTCCTTTGCCCCATTTCCCTGTTCCCTCAGGCTGTAGAAAAACATAGAAAGCTAAACCCAGTCCTCTATCTGTAGACAAATGCCAGGCAAAGGACCCCTCCCCCCATTCTATACCAGAGAAAATCTGGGTAGGGCTGCATGTGTGTAGTACCTGAGCAGTACGTAATGATGCCACAAACATGGCAGAGATATGCCTGGAAAAGAAAATTAAAGAAAGCAATACAGAGTGTCAAAATCAAAGACCCCCTATGGCTAAGAAGATGAAAACTGAAGAACTTGCCCCCTAAGTGCTATGCACTACAGGAGAAATTAAAATTAATAATAAGGTCTTTAAAAGGTACAAGGTGGGCGCCTGGGTGGCTCAGTTGATTAAGTGACTGCCTTCGGCTCAGATCATGATCCTGGAGTCCGGGGATCGAGTCCCACATCGGGCTCCCTGCTCAGCAGGGAGTCTGCTTCTCCCTCTGACCCTCTTCCCTCTCATGCTCTCTATCTCTCATTCTCTCTCTCTCAAATAAATAAATAAAATCTTTAGAAAAAAAAAAAAGGTACAAGGCAACCCAATTAGATAAAATGAAAGATTGGACATTCCAGTGCTCCCAAGCTCACCAGTATAAATTTGATATATAAAATAAGTAAGAACAAGGACTAAAACAGGTGTGGCTAAGGTTAGACCTTTGTCGTGCAAGGAAGTCCAGAGATAATCAGAGTGGATGCAGAAGAAAAGGATAGAAATTAAAGCAATTAGAAAGAAGTTGGTAAATATGGAGGATAAATTAAAATCATCCAACATATCATAAGAACATATGTTTCTAGGTGGAGAACCTGTAAAGGAAAGGAAATAATATTCATAATTTAAAAAGAATGCCTTTTTCCTGGCAAAGTGAAGGAAGAACTCTGTAGACTGATAGGGCATACCTTGCTCCGGGGATCACTTACACAGAATGATCAACACTAAGACAGATCCTGGTTCAGTTCTTAAAGTTCAAGGATAAGTAAAATAATTAGGAATCCAGGAAGCAAAGGAAATCCTTGACAGGGAGGAAAGAGTCTGGCTTCAGGCTACGACAGTGTTAGAAGATAGTGTAGCAGTAGCTATAAAATGACACTGACGTCTAAGAATATTATATGCCGCTTAATTTTAAGAATAAAAGCAACAGGCAGACAGTTTTAGACAGGAAAGCACTGATCATCTAAAACTTCTTGAAGAATCTCTAGGTGATGGAATCCAGCCAAAGAATGGAAGCCATGGTGAAGGGACTGTAGTAAAACCACACAGCCCTGTATGTAAAAGTCTGTGTGAGACACCTAGATGAATTACGGTTCCGTCACTGAACGTCAAGAGCAAATCTTGAGAAAGTAGAAAGTGATATAACTACAGGATCTAGAGGTAATGTAGGTATTGGGAGACTGGTTAAAGACACGCGCTTGAAAAGTACGCCTGGAGTGATCTGATACCTCTAAAATGGTATTGTTAGGTTAATAAAAAAATTCCCATCTAATGCTTTTCATAGTTTTCCCCTTACCCTTTAGCAGTAATTTTTTAGGAACTAATTTCTTGTGGTAAAGGAGCATTTATCTGAAGTACAGCAATTCCTTCTTCTTCTTTTTTTTTTTTTTAAGATTTAGTTGAGAGAGAAAGCACAAGCAGGGGGAGCGGGAGAGGGAGAAGCAGGCTCCCCACTGAACAGGGAGCCCGATGTGGGGCTGGATCCCAGGACCCTGGGATCATGACCTGAGCCGAAGGCAGATAAGGAAGCTCAGGATCTCTGGAAGTTGACGGTTTTAAAATGATCTGTGCTCGTGTTCCCTGTGGAGAACTGTCGCGTGTGCCAGCAGAAGACTGTTAGGTTAGACCATGACAAGCAGGGTGTTCCAGTGTCCTGGAACCCAAGAGGCGGGAGAGTTTCAGGAAGGAAGGAGTAAGTAAAGGACAGGTCAGCATATGTCTAAAAATATTCTTTTGCTTTCAGTTTCAGGAGGTCATTGCTGACTTTAGTGAGTGGTGACCTCTTGTAATAACCATGAAACAAGCGATGGGCGATTAAGTCAGAGTCCAGTGAGTTGAGTGAATGGAAAAGAGTAACTGGTGAAAAAGTATAAATCATCCTTTCAAGTAGTAGTAACCTTCTCATATAAAATTTTTGTGTTAGCCTTTCGGATCTCTCTTTAGTTCCTAGGCTAGTCTTTATTAGTCATGATTCTAAGAATTAATTTGTGTGTGAACTTTTTTATTGTGGGAAAATATATGTAACATAAATTTGCCATTTACCCATTTTTAAATGTTCCAGTTTAGTGGCATTAAGTGCATCCATGTTGTGCAGCCATCACCACTATTTCCAGAACTTTTTCATTACCCCAGAGAGAAACTCTGTTCCGATTAGGCAGTAATTCCCCGCCCCCCTCAGTCCCTGGTAACTTCTAATCTACTTTCTTTTTCAATGAATTATTTCATACAAATGGAGTCATACAATAATTGTCCTTTTGTGTCTGGGTTATTTCACTTAGCATAATGTTTTTAAGGTTTATCCATATTGTAGCATGTGTCAGAACTTTATTCCTTTTTGTGGCAGAATAATTGTCCACTGGATGATGTATATACCACATTTTGTTTATCCCTTTGTCGGTGGACAAGGGTTGTTTTCCTTTCATCTACTGTGAATAATGCTGCTTCAAATTTTGTTGTACAAGTGTCTGAGTCCATTTTCAGTACCTTTGTATCAGAGTCCCTGTTTTCAGTACTTTTTGATATATACCTCATACATCCAGGTGGAATTGCTGTGTCGTACGGTAATTCTATGTATAGCTTTTTGAAGAACTGTAAAATTTTGTGGCTGTATAGTTTTACATTCCCAGTGGCAGTGCACGAGGTTCCAATTTTTCCACATCTTTGTAAACACTTATAATCCCCCCCTTTCTTAAAACAAGTTAAGCCTCTTTACTGGGTATTAAATGGTACCTCATTGTGGTTTTGATTTGTGTTCCCATAATGATGAATGATGTTGACCATCTTTTCATGAGTTTGTTGGCCATTTGCATTTGTATATCTTTGGAGAAATGTCTGTCAAATCCTTTGCCCATTTTTCTTTTCTTTTTGTTTTTTTTTGAGGGGTTGCCTTTTTATTGTTCAGTTGTGGGAAGGAGTTCTATATATTCTGGATATGAAAAGCTTTTCAAGGGGCGCCTGGGTGGCTCAGTCAGTTAAGCAACTGCCTTCAGCTTAGGTCATGATCCTGGGGTCCTGGGATCAAGCCCTGAGTTAGGCTCCCTGCTCAGTGGGGAGTCTCCCTCTCCCTCTGTTCCTCCCCCTGCTTGTGCTCTCTCTCTCTCTCAAATAAATGAATAAAATCTTTTAAAAAAGCTTATCAAATACATGATTTGCAAGTAACTTCTCCCATTTTCTAGGTTTTCTTTTCACTCTCTAGATAGTGTCCTTTGATGTACTAAAGTTTGAAATTTTGATGAACTCCAATTTATCTGTGTTTTTTTTCTTTTGTTTCCTGGACTTTTGGTTTGATATCCAGGAATTCATTGCAAAATCCAAGGTCAGGAAGATTTCTCTCTGTTGTTTTTTTCGAGGAGTTTTAGAGTTTTTGGTCTTACCTTTGAAATCTGTAATCCATTTTGAGTTAATTTTTGCAGGTGGTCTGTCATAAGGGTCCATCCTCTTTCTTCTGTATGAGGATATGTAGTTTCCCCAGCACCATAGGTTGAAGAGATGGTTCTTTCCCCCATTGAATAGTCTTGGCACACTTGTTAAAAGTCAACTAATGATAGATGTGAGAGTTTATTTTTTGGCTTTCAATTCTATTGCCTTGGTCTGTATATCTAGATCCCTTATGTCAGTACCACACTCTTGATTACTGTAGCTTTGTAGTAAGTTGTGAAATTGCAAAGTAGGAGTTCTTCTAACTTTATTTCTTTTCCAGGATTGTTTTGGCTCTTGGGGGTCCTTTGAGATTCCATATGAATTTTATGGTGGGGTTTTCTATTTCTCAAAAAAACACCCCAGGGATTTTGATAGAGATTGCATTGAATATGTAGATAGCTTTATGTAGTATTGTCATCTTAACAATACTAAGGTTTTTAGTACATGAGCGTGAGATGTCTTAGTATTAATTTCAGTTTTCCTTAATTCAGCAATGTTTTGTGGTTTTCAGGGTATAAGTTTTGGGCCTTCTTGGTCAAATTTTTTCCTAACTTTTGTTCTTGTGGATGCTATTATAAATGGAATTGTTTTCTTTCTTTCTTTTTTTTTTAAGATTTTATTTATTTATTTGCCAGAGAGAGACACAGCGAGAAAGGGAACACAAGCAGGGGGAGTGGGAGAGGGAGAAGCAGGCTTCCCGTGGTGCCGGGCCCCATCCCAGGACCCTGGGATCACGATCTGAGCTGAAGGCAGATGCTTAACCACGACTGAGCCACCCAGGCATCCCTGGAATTGTTTTCTTAATTTCATTTTCAGATTGTTCCTTGCTGGTATATAGAAATACAACTGATTTTTGCACATTGAATTTATATCCTGTAGTTTTGCTTTATTCATTTATGAGCTCTAACTTTTTTTTGGTGGATTCTTGATATTTTTCTACATATGAGATCATGTCATCTCAATAGAAATACTTTATGTCTTCCTTTCAGATTTGGAGGCCTTTTATTTCTTTTTCTTGCTGAATGTTCTGACAAGAACTCCCAATACTATATTGAATACAAGTGGCAAAAGCAGGTGGCACCTGGGTGGCTTAGTTGTTAAGCATCTGCCTTCGGCTCAGGTCATGATCCCGGGGTCCTGGGATCGAGCCCCGCATCGGGCTCCCTGCTCAGCGGGAAGCCTGCTTCTCCTTCTCCCGCTCCCCCTGCTTGTGTTCCCTCTCTCACTGTCTCTCTCTCTGGCAAATAAATAAATAAAATCTTAAAAAAAAAAAAAAAAGTGGCCAAAGCAGCCATCCTTGTCTTCTTCCTAAGGCTTTCTACTGCACTATATTTTGTGACATCATTGTGAATTTTAAGAAGGTAGTGGGATTTATGTCTTGAATGAGATTTCAGATTTTTAAAAAATATTTTATTTATTTGAGAGAGAGAGAGCACAAGCGGGGGTCGGCAGAGGGAGAGGGGGAAGCTGACTCCTTGCTGAGCAGGGATCCTGATGCTGACCTTGATACCAGGATTGTGGGATCTTGACCTGAGCTGAAGGCAGACGCTTAACCTACTCAGCCAACCAGGCACTTGCAGATTTTTGAAATATAATAATTTTATAGACCTCAGGGTTTATTTCATCATCTCTTCTAAAAAGGAAACCTAGTGGTGGGGTGCCTGGGTGGCACCTGACTCTAGATTTCGTCCCAGGTCATGGTCTTAGGGTTGTGAGATTGAGTCCCACATTGGGCTCCATGCTGGGTGTGGAGCCTGCTTGGGATTCTCTCTCCCACTCTCTCTGCCCACCCTCCCTTAAAAAAAAAAAAAAAAAAAAAGTTAGAAAAAAACAAATAGGAAACCCAGTGATAATCCTTTTCATGGAGAAATGTTTTGTGAAACATTTGTTTAAAGCTTGGCCACAAAGTAAAATGTTGCTTTTGTAAATACTTTGGTAGGAAAGGGAAAGTGAAATTAATACCCACACGCAGTACTCATGTAAAGGAATCAGAGACAGATTCCTGACTTTTAAGATGCTTATGTACTTGCAGAAACTAGGCAGAATGCGTATTTTGGGGGTCAAAATTTCAAAGCAATGTTACATTTCCACTCAAGAGACTCATCTTTAAGTCTTAGTACCTCACAACTCAAGTCATTTATGTTTCCATGTACAGTTGCTGGGAGATTTGTTTTTTCCTGCTCGTTTTTATTATTGGTTAAAAATGGTGGCTCTTCTAGTCTAGATCGTACTAAATTCAATTATTACGGCATAGGTTTAAAAATAGTGTTTTAGGGATATTCCTCAGCATCTCTAAATTTTCTGCAAATTGAAATCTTTTGTTATGTCTTTCACTTTACTACTGCCACTCCCATCTCCCCTGAAGAAACTTTTTTTTATTAGAAGTTTACTAGCACTTTATGTACATTCTTCTTCTGGGGGTGGTGGGAGGAGGTTCATTTTAATAGTAAGCATAATTTTCTCATTTATTTCAAAGTCCAACCAGGGATGTTAGCAGGAAGTTGTATATCATTTTACAGTTGTCAAGTGTTTCTTTTCTTTTTATGTGTTAGGCCTCAAGAAAGGAGAACTGGATATGAACAGTTTCACCCAGGGCCGTCCCCCGTGGATCATGATTCCCTGGAATCCAAGCGACCACGTCTGGAGCAGGTTTCTGATCCCCATTTCCCGCGCGTCAGCGCCGCGGTTTTACCTGTCGTGCACACGCTGCCAGAAGGGTTGAGGTCTTCAGCAGACGCTAAGAAGGTAAATATTTGTGCTCTTCCCCTGTGGAGTCGTCGGTCGGTCTGTAATGTTTATTTAGCCATATCCAGGCACGGCGCCTAAAAGAAAGTCCGATTATGCCAGTCTCTAAAGGTTAGTGCTATGGGAAAGTAAAAATTTTGTTAAACAAAACTGAAAACCACACACTTAGTGCTCCAGACTTTTAAAGTCAGTACTTTTGACTTTTTGGTAAATGAAAACAATCTGAGGACTGCTGTAAAGAAAAATTGCTATTGAGGGGCACCTGGGTGGCTCAGTCGTTAAGCGTCTGCCTTCGGCTCAGGTCATGATCCTAGGATCTTGGGATCGAGCCCCGCATCCGGCTCCCTGCTTGGCGGGAAGCCTGCTTCTCCCTCTCCCACTCCCCCTGCTTGTGTTCCCTCTCTCGCTGCGTCTCTCTCTGTCAAATAAATAAAATCTTAAAAAAAAAAAAAAAAGAAAAATTGCTATTGAATAACTCTCAAGCCTTTTGTACTGGCTCGCTGGGCTGTAAAATGTGGTCAGTTGTTCTCAAGACAACCACAGTTTTGTTCAATTTAAATTAAATTTAAAATAATCCCCTTAAATTCAGTTGCAATTACCATGCTTATACTTTTTATAAAGAAAATAAATTTTTTTCTAATTTATGTAAAAAAGTTTCTTTAGAAAATTTGAAAATACAGAGGAAAAACATTATCTGTAGTTTTTTTTAAATTTTAGTTAACATAAGGTGCAATATTGGTTTCTGCAGTAGAATTTACTGATTCATCACTTACCTGCAACACTCAGTGCTCATCACAAGTGCCTTCCTTAATCTGCATCACCCCTCTAGCCCATCCCCCGCCCACCTTCCTTGTCGACCTTCAGTTTGTTCCCTATCCTTAAGAGTTCCCTACTGCTTGTTTCCCTCGCTCCTTTTTTTCTTTTCCCCCTTCCCATATGTTCATCTGTTTTCTTTCTTAGATTCCACATAGGACTACAATCATATGGTATTTGTCTTTCTCTGACTGACTTATTTCACTTGGCATAATGCTGTTTAGCTCCATCCACATTGTTGAAAATGGCAAGATTTCATTTTTTTTGATGGCTGAGTAATACTCCATTGTATATACATGCCACATTTTTTTTTTTTTTTAATTTATTCATTAGAGAGAGAGCACCAGTCAGAGCAGAGCAGGGGGGAGGGTCAGAGGGAGAGGGAGGAGGAGACTCCCCGCTGAGCAGAGAGTCTGACGCGGGGCTCGATCCCAGGACCCCAGGATCATGACCTGAGCCCAAGGCAGACGCTTAACGACTGAGCCTCTGAGGCGCCCTGCGCCACATCTTCTTTATCCATTCATCAGTTGATGCACATTTGGTTTCTCTCCATAGTTTGACCTGTAATTCTGTTATGTTAGAACTACTTTTATTATGTAACTGTATTTTGTGACATTTCAAACAGCGTATATTGTGAATTTATGAGGAGGTTCTACTAAGATCAAACCTCTTCTTGTGTTTGTTACTTGCCTTTTGTGAAATGCATGTTTGTGCATTATGCTTTTACTTTGTTACCGAGTTTATCTTTTTTTTTAACTGTGTATTTTGCTTATCATTAAATCTTCCGATTCAGAAGTTCCTGGCACTTAGTAGGTACTAAATAAATATTTGTTTTAGAAATAATAAACTAATTCTTTGATGCTCTTTTAACAGTATAGTGTTAACCCTTTTGCTATCCCTGCTCCCCCCCCTTTTTGTTAGCAAATCTTTCTCCCATAATGTTTATTTACCTTCATGGCTAATGGCCCTTTTCAACCTGAGATCAGATAAACAAGTACCCACGCATTTTCTTTGAGTTTTTATGCAGTGAAAAGTGATTTAAAAGATAATCAATATGGGGGCACCTAAGTGGCTCAGTTGGTTGAGCATCCAACTCTTGATTTTGGCTCAGATCCTGATCTCACGATTGTGAGATCAAGCTCCAAGTTGGGCTCCACACTGACTGTGGAGCCTGCTGAAGATTCTCTCTTTCCCTCTCCCTCTGCCCCCCTCCCTCTCTCTAAAAATAAATAAAGATAGTGAACATGGGGGTGCTTGGATGGCTCAGTTGGTTAAGTGTTGGACTCTTGATCTTAGCTCAGGTCTTGATCTCAGGGTTGGGAGTTAACGCTCTACAGGGTTGGGCTCTACAACTGGATGTGGAGCCTACCTAAAAAAAAAAAAAAAAAAGATAGTGAATATGTCTTCAGTTTATTTCCAAATAGTTCTGCCAAGAAAAAAAAAAAAAGGTTGATGTGTGCATATGGAGAGAATGCAAAAATAGCAAAATGTTAACCAGTGAAGAATAAAGGATAAATGTTTTTCCATTATACTGTTCTTTCAAATTTTACATAAATTTGAAAATTTGCAAAATAATAGGTTAGGTAGAGAAAAGCTCTTTTGTGATCAGCTAGAAATGAGCTCAATTTCTGGGATTTTTGAGGCCTGCCTTACTGTGTGAAATGTATGTATTATAGTCTGTGGGTTTATAAGAAATGTTTTGTAGCATTAAAAAAAAAGAAAAGAAACAGTGAATAAAAGTCTTCTTCCATGGCTGAATAAATTACTACAGATGTTATTTATAGCTGTAGGATTTTTTTTTTTTTTTAGCAGAAAGGGATCTTAAAGTCTCATTCATTAAAATGTGACATGTTGGATCATAGTACATCCTATTTCCATTTGATAGTAGAGAAAACAGATGTTAAGAAAAATTAAGTGCTGTAGGTGATGCCTGCTGAGTTGGAATGAAAACCCACGATTCCTGCCTCCCGGTCCTACTTTTCTTCCCCACTAAGTTGTAAACTATGACTTTTTTTTTTTTTTTTTTAAGAAATAGGGATTTAGCGTTTGTGGGTTGTTTTTTTTTAATGTTTTAAGCCCAAGTGTATCTTTTATAGAAGTAGATAAGCCTGAAGGAGAAAGTAATTTACAGCCTCACCAGTTAGAGGTAGTTGTTAACTTTCTGATACTTTGTTCTATCTTCCAGTGGGTATCTTAATGTGCTCACTTTGTACATTGTATGTAACTATTTTTGCTTAAGTATGTCATGAGCTTCTTTTTGTGTCAGTTAAGTTTGCAACTGTATTTTTGGGGGTTACTTAGTATTCCATATACGGATATAAATTAATTTGTCGTACATGTAGGTTAACTGTTGGTTCATTAGAGCAATGACATATGTTCTTCAGGCTGATTTTTTTGGTGTTCATTCTTATTTCTTTCCTTAAGGTAATTCTTATTAGTAGAATCAATTTCAGATCAGTCGACATATTTTGCAGACTTTCATGGTTGTTTCCAGATTGCCCTGCCAGAGTAGGACCAATTTGTATTCCTGACAGCAGAGCATAGGGTGCCCAATTCTTGTGGAGCCTTGCTGATGCCGCATAGTTATTGCTTAAAAAAATAATTGTTAACTTGATAAATTTTTAACTGTTTATTTGCTTTACAGTAAAATTTACATTTTTCATTGTTTATTGGTTATTCATTTTTTCTGTTTTGTGAATTGTTTTTTCATATCTCTTCATTTTTCTGGTGGTATGTTTTTGATTTTATATTGAGTTGTAGAGTTCACATTTTGGAAATGATTTTTCTCATTTGCCTTTTAAATTTCTTATTACTATCTTGGTAAATAGAAGATTGTGTTTATTTTATTTTATTTTATTTTGAAGATTGTGTTTATTTTAATCCATCAGTCTCTCTCTCTTTTTTTTATATATCTTTTGCTGTTGGCTTTTCTGAGCCCAAGATAACATGAATACCCTTTTTTGTTTGAGGCTCCCTGAGATTTGCTAATAATTCTCATGTAAATGTTTGCTATTATTTGGCTTTTATTGTGATAATAAGATATGAGGTAGGAATCTAACTCTTTTTCCAAAATAGCTATCAGTATGTTCCAACACAAGAGTATAAACTCTGTGAGGGTGAGCATCATGACTGTTTTGTTCAACCTTCTACTTAGTGCCTGTCACATAGTAGGCACTCAAGGAATTGTTTTTTTGTTAAATATTTAACTAGAACAGAAGTCAGTGGAAAATACTGCTTTGTAATAGTAGTTCTTAGGGCGTGCATCAGATCACCTGAGGAGCATTTCCAAAATCTGCAGAATCAAAATATAATCTGTTTTGTTATTATACGTGTTCTGTGACACAATTGAACTCATATGCATATGGTAGGAGAATGTTTTAATAGAACATGGAAGTCTTGGTGGTTCATAAATGATTTTTTTTTCTGCACGTTAATGTTTCAAAGCTCTCAGGATCAAGCGGTCTCATAATTACAAGAAGTAGCCTTCATGATGTCTGAAGACCTTAAGAAGATTTGAAAATTAGTGCACTCAAGAACTGCTCTACTTTTCACTGTTAAGCTAACTAGTGGAGATTCAAGTGTCAAAAGAAACCGTAAAGATATTATCTCCTGTGTTTTTTGTTTTTAAAGTTGATAAAGATGGTTATACCCTGAATTGGATTTTTTATTTTGATGAAACATACTGTTTTCTATTGGAAGCAAATGACCTCAAGGATTTACACCTTAACAACAGAAGCAGTGTAAAGCTAGCAAAGGTTGACTGTAGGCTGATTGCAAATGATACTGGAGCTTCAATTACATTATTACCTCTATTAGAATAGTTACTGTTTTTGTTAGTGCTCTGCTGACAAAGTTGTACAGGTTTTAAGTAATAGCCATAATCCCATTTTCCCCAGAAGTCTTATATTTAGCATATACTATTACAGAGTCTGAGATTTTTCAGGAATACACATATTTTAGCTGAAATCTCTGTTCCAAGGTGTTTTGGAACAACTATCCAGGTATAAGTTATGTGCATTCTTGGTTAGAACTACTGATTTCTCAGTTACTTAATCATTATTTAATACATTTAGAGCTCGATAGTCCTATGAACTGTGCTCATCCTAGGCTTCTTATAGCCTGAAGAAAATTAGTACCTTAATCTAAAATCCATGTGCTTTACAGTATTGGTTATAGCTTCACCTTAGACTGGAAATTAATAGACTGTGGGTATATGTGTTGACAGGGTGGTAGATTTTGGGTGGAGGGGTTTTCCTTCTGCTGTAGTTCTCTGCTGATTTGGAGGTGGAGGGGTTTTCCTTCTGCTGTAGTTCTCTGCTGATTTGGAGGTGGAATTTGGCTTAAGAGATCTTATGTGCACTGTAGCGTGGGCAGGCTTAGTTGCCCTTTATAAGGGTAGGCCTAGGTGTTAGTAGCAACAAAATTCCTAGGTCATTTCTGTATCTGATTATTGGCCCTTGGAAAGTCTGAAAAGTTTTTATTAGAACTCTTGGCCATATCATAGCTGCTAAGTTGGGTGGGCATGCAGATTTTACATGGAGTTTGTAGTTTTCCCAGCCTACAAGTTCAGACCTTTTGAAGAACCATTGTAAGGAAATGGTTAAGAAATTGGTATCTTCCTTTGTCATGATTGCATTATTATTTCCCCAGATACTCTCTACAGTCTCACTGTTGTTACACTAAAGACTGTTTGGCCTCTTAGCCACCTCCTTCTACATAGGTTTTAGGATATTCAAAATAGTGAACGATACGTCTACACTATGAAAGTCGTATAGATGTCAGTAGGGTGTGTTGTGTGTGTGCGTGTATGAAAATTGCTACTTTCGGACACCGGATAGAGAAATAGCATACATGGCTCTGCTGTGTTTTAAAATGGACTTTTTCAGTTAAGAGAATCTTCACACTAATATTGGCTATTAGTCAGGAATAAATTATTGATTTTCTCCTCTAAAGGATACAGCATTTGGAGGCAAACATGAAGCTCCATCCTCTCCAATCTCTGGGCAACCATGTGGAGATGATCAGAATGCTTCACCTTCAAAACTTTCAAAGGAAGAGTTAATACAGAGTATGGATCGTGTAGATCGAGAAATTGCAAAAGTAGAACAGCAGATCCTTAAACTGAAAAAGAAACAAGTAAGTGTTTGATTTTACTGGTCTTTTGTTGATATTCTAAGAATATATGTTTGTCTTTCTAAAGAAGATAATGTTGAGTTTTCCATATTTTTCAACTTTATGTACATGGAATCATGTCTTGTATATCCTTTGACTTACTTTTTTTTTTTTTGCTATTAGTTTCCTTAGTTGCATCTACTCATTTCCCCTGCTACGTTGTCTGATTATAAATAGCAAATCTTGTTTGTCCATTCTGTTTTTGATCTTACTGGATGGGTTGTTCCTGGTTTGTTGCTATTTCATACAGTGGTGCTGTGTTTTTGGTTCATGTGTAAACCGATTTTCTAGGGCACGCGCACAGGAATGGCATTGCTTGGCTCGAGAGTATGCGCGTCTTCGAGTATATTAAATGATACCAGACTTGCTAAAATGGCAGTTCAGCTCTACATTCCCACTGCGGCCTTACAAGTTCGTTTGTACATAAGCTTGTCTTCACCTGATCATTTGTTTCAACTGGATGTGAAATAGGTCTCACTGAAGTTTTACGTGGCGTTTCCTTTTTCAGGAGTGAGAGCTTATTTTCGTTTGTTTATGGGTTATTGGTGTTCCTTACGTGGATTGTTACTTTGTCATGTTCTTATTTTTAGTATTTCCTAAAGTCTCTTGTCAGCTATGTGTATGGCAGCTATCTCCTCATTTGTGCCTTGTCATTTTGCTTTCTGGGGATGGGAGGAGGGGGGATTTTTTTTTTTTTTTTGATGTTGAAATAAATTCACATACATAATGTTCATCCTTTTAAAGTATACAATTGTAGTGGCTTTTAACATATTCATAAAGTTGTGCCACTATCACCACTATATAATTCCAGAACATTTTAATCACTTCAAAAAGAAACCAAAAAATAAAAAAGAGAAACCACATATCTGTTAGCAGTTACTCTCTAGTCCCCCTCTCCCTGGCCCCTGCCAACCACTAATCTATTCTGTGTCTATATAGATTTTTATCTGGATATTTCAGGTAAATAGAATAATATAATATGTGACTTTTTGTGTCTTCTTTCATTTAGCATGTTTTCAAGATTCACCCATGTTATATTTTGTATCAGTATTTCATTCCTTTTTATGGCTGAATAAGATTCCACTTCATGGATATACTGGGTATTGTTCATTCATTCATCAGGTGATAGACATTTGGGTTGTGTTCACTTTTTGGCTGTTTTTGGCTGTTATGAATCATGCTGCTATGACATTCAAGTACTAGTTTTTGTGTGACCATATTTTTTTCAGTTCTCTTGGATATATACCCAGGAGTGAAATTGCTGGGTCGTATGGTAAATCTGTGTTTAAATTTTTGAGGAACCATGAGAATGTTTACCACAGTGACCACCATTTTATACTCCCACCAGCAGTGTATGAAGGAGGGTTCCATTTTCTCTACTTCTTTGTCAACATGTTTGTTTGTTTGTTTTTTGATAGCCATCCTAGTAAATATAAAGTGGAATCTCATTGTGGTTTTGATTTTAATTTCCTTAATGATGAAGGTGAATGGCTTTTCATGTGCTTGTTGTATATTTTCTTTAGTGAAATATCCAGATTCTGGCCCCATTTTTTAGTTGGGTTATTTGTCTTTTTATGGTTGAGTTGTAAGAGTTCTTTATATATTCTGGACACTCAGACATATGATTTGCAGATATTTTCGCTTATTCTGTGAGTTGTCTTTTCACTTTCCTGATAGTATCGTTGGTGTACAAAAGAGTTTTTCCCCCCCCTTACTTGATTCATATAAGTATTTATTGAGCAGCTAGCGAGATACAAAGGTGAATAAAACATGGTCCAAGAGGTGAGTCAAATGCAAAGTTAACAGAGAGCAAAGTATAAGGTTCCCTGGATCACAGCAGTCAGATGAAAGTGCTTTGGGAAGTCAGGATGGAGATTGCTTCCAGCCTGGAAGGGGGTGTGGGTGGGTGGCAAACCAGGAACGGGGATTGAAATTAAAATAGAAGACTTTCGTCTAGATTGTTGATTTTCAGTATGGACTATATTTGTCTCTCTTTTTCCTCTCCCCATCTTTGGGCTTAATTTACCAGGATCGTTCAGCATGCTTTTTCTAGACTTGCTTGCATTTTTGCTTTAATGTCTTCTACAGAAATAGATCCTTTTGCTGTTTTAGGACGTTTTCTTCTTTTTTTTTTTTTTTAAAGGATTTGTGACCTTTTGATCTTGGAGTTAATGGTTTTGAGTCTTTTCCATTCTGGTTTGATTTTTTTTTTTTATGCCTCTTTGACTGGAATATTGAGTATACATTTCTTCACTGGAGCTTTTTCTTCTGCTTCCTCATCCTCATCATCATCATCAGCCAGTTTCACTTTTTTTTTTTTTCCTGTGGAAACTTGCTGTCTCTTAGAGGGGCAGATCACTTTCCAGATACGCTGTGGAGTTTCACACCTTCATCTTCTGACTCTTCATCTTCCTCCACAGCTGCTAGGTGCTGTCCACACATACAGGGCCTGAACCACATTTAGATCACAGGTGGTGTTATTTCAAAGACTCCAAGGGAAACCATTGGCTGTACAGATGTTCTCAAAGTTGCCAATGTTACTTTAATTGGACTGCCTTTATAATTTATTGCCTCTGCTTTAACAATGTACAATTCATCTTTTGCATCAGCCCCAAAACTGACCATTCTTAAAGGTAACTGGTGCTCATTTTCATCATTATCCACTTTAAAGTGATACTCTTTGGCCCTTGTTGGCCTCATAACTGAAAAGATATTTCTGGGGCCACACGGGGCTCATGTCATTGTCCACTGAATCTTCTATGGGGTGGGAATCTTGTGTGGGAGAGAGGGCAGCCGGAGATAAAAGACTCCCGTTATAGAGAACAGCCGTGTAGGACTGAATCACACCAGGGCCAAAAGTTTTTACTTGTGATGAAGCCCGTTTTATTTTTTCTTTCATTACTTGAGATTTTGGTGTCATTTACAAGAAACCGTTGCATAATCTAAGGCCACAAGGATTTATTCCTGTGTTTTCTTCTGTAAATTTTATTGTTTCAACTCTTAGATTTAGGGCTTTGAGCCTAATTTTGTTTTTTGGTGAACAGAAGTTGTTTAGATCTTACATGAGACTACCCTGGAATCATTAAAACAGTTGACTATTTTGTCCTTTTAAAAGCTTCATAGTGGGGTGCCTGGGTGGCTCAGTCGGTTAACCATCTGCCTTCAGCTCAGGTCATGATCTCAGGGTCCTGGGATGGAGTCCCGCATCAGGCTCTCTGCTCAGCGGGGAGTGAGCCTGCTTCTCCCTCTGCCTGCCACTCCCCCTGCTTGTGTGTGCGTGTGCTCTCTCTCTCTGACAAATATATCAATAACATCTTATACAAAAAAATAAAAGCTTCATAGTTTTGGGGTGCCTGGGTGGCTCAGTCAGCTGGGCATCTGACTCTTGATTTTGGCTCAGGTCATGATCTCAGGGTCATGGGATTGAGCCCCTCATCAGGCTCCGTGCTAAGCCTGGAGTCGGCTTGAGATTTTCCCTCTCCCTGGGCCCTTCCCCCTGCTTGTGCACATTCTCTCTAAATAAATAAATAAATAAAATCTTTAAAAAAAAAACTTCATAGTTTTGTTTCTTACATTATTCTTAATCTGCCAGAAATTGGCTTTTTTGTGTCTCTGCCTCAAGGTAGGGGTCACATTCATTTATTTTATCTATGGATAATTAATTGCAAAGTTCATCCTTTTCTAACTGTTCTACAATTTTAGCTCTAATATAATTCAAGTTTGCATCTATACATCTGTTGATTTTTGGGCTTTGTGTTCTTATTTATCGCCCTCTTTGTGATGTTCATACAGAAATACAATAATACTCTCCTAATTACTAGAGCTTTATAATACTTTCTTTCCAGTAAGGTAAGCCCCACTTCTGCAGGCATGTTTTAGCTATTTAAAATTTTTTACCATCTCATGTAACTTATAGAATCACATTTTTTGATTCTCTAAAACATCTTTCTGGAATTTTCATTGGAATCATGTAGAATATAGATACCAATTTGGAGAGGATGAAGTCCTTATGACATTGAGTCTTCCAATCTATGAATATTGTATATCTGTCCATTTATTTATGAGGTCTTTCATGTTTTTTTTCTTTTTGTTCATAAATAATCTATATCCCTTGCATTTAATTAAACTGTAGCCACTTTGTATTTTTGAAGCTCTTGTTAATATCTTTTTAAAAATTACATTTTTCTGTTGCATTTGACTTTTTTATAGACCAGCAGTCTCCCTGAATTATCCTTTTAATGCTGATTTCTTATTTGTAGGTTCTTTTGGGCTTTTTGTGTAGGTAATGGTCATATCAATAGTTTTAAAAAAAAAAAGACAGTTTTGTTTCTTTCTTTACAGTCCTTAAATCTTTTCCTTACTTTTCTGTTGCTTTATTGCTCTTGTTAGGACTGCAATACAATGTTGAAAGTGGTTATTCTTGTTCTTTTCTGCTTTTAAAAGAATACCTTTACTTTTTACCACTAATTATGATGTCTGTTTTTGTAGACGTCCTTTATCAGGTTGGGAAATAACTCTTCCGAATGTGTGCCAAGAATTTTTTTTTTTTTTAAGATTTTATTTATTTATTTGACAGAGAGACAGACACAGCGAAAGAGGGAACACAAGCAGGGGGAGTGAGAGAGGGAGAAGCAGGCTTCCTGTGGAGCAGGGAGCCCGATGTGGGGCTCCATCCCAGGACCCAGGGACCATGACCTGAGCCGAAGGCAGATGCTTAACGACTGAGCCACCCAGGCGCCCCTGTGTGCCAAGAGTTTTAATCATGAATTTTATCAATGTTTTTCTGCCTAAGTTTGCTGATCATATAATTTTTGTCCTTTAATATGTTAATATAATAAGTGATGTTAATTATTTTTCTAGTGTTAAATCACCTGTGGATTTCCAGATTTAACCTTAGTGATGATGTATTACCTTTTTTTTTTTTTTTAATAAATTGCTAGATTTGCTTTGTCAGTATTTACTTT